AGTTCTTTTTATCCGACTTCCAAAAAGGGGTAAGTTCTATATTCGTTTATAAGTATTTTTTATGTATGTTTATCGATTTCTCTGATTAGGTATCTGTAGTAAAAGAAAACCCATGTTAGTTATTTTTTTACTTTTCAGTGTCTAGAAACCGGTTATTTTTTTTTTAATGTATGACTTTTTGTTCTATAAAAAAGAATTCGTACAACATAGAAAATAGGGTCTATATAATTATGTCAGCAAAATATATAAATGTAATTGGTAAAAGGTACAAAGGTTCCCACGAGACGAATATTTGTATACAATTGTAAGTTCTTAGCAGAATATTTAACGTTACGGTCTAAATTTTACATATAATAATAATGATTCGAAAGGATAGTGGATTAAAATATCCTTTGTCTTAATGTATTAAAATAACGCAAAATTTAAATACTAGGTCTTTTTTATACAACACCTTATATTAGTAGTAGGAGACACATAAAACTAATCTACCAATACATGTAATAAAATTCTGAGTCGAATCTGTACATTAAATATTTTTTGGAAAATCTTATTTAAATAGACATTATTATCGATACAGGGGCCGAATCTATAGTTTTTAGAATTTTTGTCTGTCTGTCTGGAAAAATATCACGAAAAACTCACTGGAAAGATTTTGATAAAATTTAGTATGATGATAGCTCGTTATCCGTGTCAATATATAGGATACTTTTTACTGCAGGAAAATATCTTATCCCTGAGAAATCTATACGAAACGTTAAAACGTAACTAGGAACTTTCCATACAATCTCATTAAAAGTGTGCCTCAGCATCCTATTTTACTCATCACAAGCCTGTAAGCGGCAAGTGCCGTCAACTTCCACTCGTAAGTCGTTAAATTTATGCGAACGCTAAAACGGTGACACAGATCTCTTTTGAATTAATTTCTCATTTACAAGTCAGAAATCGTAAACGAGTTCCTTAGACTATTTGAATTTACCCCACGGCGAGTATTATTTGAACTGATTCCGGATGTTCAGATTCTTGAAAATTGGAATTGGTGAATTTCACTAGACTGCATAGGAAATCAAATTTTGGCATTTATATGTAAAAATGTTTTTTTTTATAATACTCAGTGATAAACGAGTAGACATCCCAGATGGAAAGCGGTACCTGTCGCCCATAACACTTACGGTTCATACACTTAGGTTTTACGTAACAAAAATGCAGAATGGCATGTCACTGTGAGGACTAAGATGATATGCCTCTCGCCTGTAATTACGCTGGCTACCTTATCCTTCAAACCGGAATACAACAATGTAATAATTGTTATATGTGCCATTAAAATCTTCTAATCTTAGAATATAACAACTTAGTGAAGCCGAGATAACTAATGGTTTGTTTTTTTTTTAATACAATTGTATTAAATAATGTTTTTCTTTATTTGAATTAAAATTAAATGTCTATAGATTATACGTATATTTAATATATTATAGTTCGTATAAAAATATAAGGTCAATATTTTTATACGAATAAGTCAAAAATTCCTACTAATAAAACAAGAAACGTAATACTCAACTAAAACTTAACACAAAATGCTCCATAAGTTACTATTTTAGTTCAGAATCTATAGAAAAACCAACTCAGCAATCATTTCTCAATATTTAATTTTAGGCTTCATTTACTTCAGCGAAATTCGCAGACTCAACAGCTTTGTGTAAAGTCTGTCGCCTCTTTGGAATGAAAACGATTTTACCCTAATTTCACATAGAATATGGTGCTGTATTTGGCTCTTAAAAGTAAAATAACTTCACTAAAATATGTAAGAAATCCTCCTTGTTTAAAATGATCCTTTTATTTAATTGCAATAAACATTCTATATAGTAAATAACCTAAATACTCAAATTTTAAATTCAAAATTACCAAAAACACAAAGAATGACTCGTTTTTCACCCAAAAAATCGATATTACAACATATTACTAAAATTACATTTGTAAAGCAATTTATATATGTAATCTTATCACATCTTTATAAGCCCATAAATTACAAGTGCTACGAGCAACTTAGACTCCTTTAATTTACGAGTGTAAAAGTACGACAAACTTTCCTTTGCCATTAATCTACTATTCGATTTCATAATATATTTTAAAGTTATTGTTATCCTTATTGTTGTTATAAAATAAATAATCAAGTGCGAATCGAAATCGCACACGAAGGGTTACATACTATCGTACATGCACTTTTTATTAATATGAATTTTTCTGTATGTACATATGTAGTAAGTATATTAACTTCGATGATCGATTACGAACGCTAAATAAAACATGTTTATTGTATTTTTATTTTTTATAATATTTTATATTATTTTTTGTTATAGCAGCAATAGAAATACATACTCTGTGAAAATTTCAACTCTCTACCTATTATAGTTGATGAGCACCCTTCGGGTACGGAACCCCAAAAAAGAGAGTTCTTGTCTGTTTAATTTTTTATATATAAGAGAGTAAACAAAGAAAGAGAGTGCCTTTTGCAAATTGATACAAAAACATTTAGATTTATTTATAATATAATATTTGTTTGTATGTACCATTGTTCATATTATTTACAAATGATCAGTACCATCTTTTGGCAAATTGTTTATAACATTAGTTCAATGACATTCCATAGTCCATAGACTAAATTTCATCTAAATACGTCCAGCCGTTTAAGCCTGAAGGAGTTACAAATACACAAACAAACCTTCGCATTATATTAGTAAGTAGTGTGATTTACTATTGAATATAAATTGCTAAGATTTTATTTTATTCATTCTAATACGATTTGTTTCAGTTCAAATATAATATTTAATTTTTTTCTTTGAACTATAAAATGGATGGAAAATCAAAATCCCTTGATGCTTTCTAGCAATAATGCTTTTTGACGTTAAAATTACGCTACCATCCATTCTATCGAATCTATTGGGACACAACAATTTCAACAATCATTTTCTTTTATGTATAATGAAGTATATATGTGAATACCGTCAAATGTAAAGTAAAACAGTAAAGTGTTTAAAATTGGGTTTGTCTGGCACTTTTTATTTTTCCGAAGATTGCATATTGTAGATTTAAAAAAAAAGATTATTATAGGATCTCCCAAAGTATATCTTATTAATATTATAAATGTGAAAATTTAGATGTTTGGATGTTTGTTACTCAATTACGCCAGAACGGCTGAACGGATATGGCTGTAATTTGGCACAAGATATATTATAGTCTGGAATAGCACAAAAGCAACCTACTTTTTATCACGGAAAAATGTATGACTTCCGTGGGATAGATTTGTTTTTTTTTTTCTATAGGCGAACCCGAGCGAAGCGAGAGTGAGCCACTAGTTTTATAATAATTTTATACGAGACAATTTTGTCGCTTAAAAATAGCCTATTATCATGATAATGGTATAGGCATTAGGCATAGTGTTGCTTTCTATTACTAGTGAAAGAATATTTGATAGAGTGTCATTTTAACACTATAATGTCAGCAAATCACATGATTGTCTCAAAATAATTTAATGTTAACAAAAATATTAAAAAAAGCTTCTGATGATGTTAAGAATCGAAATTAACTGCATTTAAGTCTTATGTTGGAAAGCTCAATGTTTAAAAAAATGCAAGAATTCGTCTAAAAGTAAAGTAAGTAAACACTTATTTACGCGCCAAAGCACTAAGTTTTCAATAAATCTAAGAAAACTTATGATTATCTGACATAGTTATGTTTTTATTGTTTTGGCACAAAAGCAGGTTAAAAGCGATTTATATCTGAGAGATGCTAGAAAAAACAATGATAGCAACATTTCACAGTAACACTGAAAAAGCAATAAAGTAATCTATACATATAATAAAATTCTAACTAAGTCGAATCTGTACATGGAACATTTTTTGGAAAATATCATTATTATCGATACAGACGCCAAATCTACAGTTTTTTGAATTTATGCCCTTATGTCTGTCTGAGAACGCATCGTGAGAAAACCACTGGACAGATTTTGATGAAATTTGATATGATGATAGCTGGTTGTCCAGGTCAACTATAGGATACTTTTTACTACAGAAAATATCTCATCTCTGAGAAATCTATACTAAATGTTAAAACGTAACGAAATATATATAGCTTTGTTTCTTTACGATTAAGATTTTTGCTACAGGTACAGAATATAAAACTTTATATTATTAGCGACTTTTTTATGCATCCTTGAGCTTCAATGGCTTAAGAACGCATAAGAGACAAACTTTCAATAAAAGAAAAAACGTTTGTGTGTACCTACTTATGTACGCACGTAAGAAGTTCTTTGGCGTAACAGAACAAAAATAGCTAAAGATTTCATCCTGTATGTCACAACTCTCTGTTTGTAAAAGGAATGCAGCTAACTTCATCATGTCGCTTTTAGCTAACTTCATCATGTCGCTTTTAGCTAACCTCATCATGTCGCTTTTTGGCTGTCGGTGTGCGCGCGCACAACGTAAAAAAAATTCTCTCATATTTTTTTCCAAACGCGCCACAAGATATACCTATGTATTATGTAAGTCAACTATGATGATAGTGTATGATTAAGAGAAAATTATCGCTTAATACAACAATTTAATTCTAATGATAAACAGACAAAAATAAAAATATCGAAGGATTTATAGAAATTCATCCTCTTAATTAAATAGAAATATTTCTGTGGAAATTTTTAGTTTTTTTAGATGGAAATATGGAAATTGATGTTTAAGTGAGTGCGTGCGTCTGTTCATGTGCAAAATTATAATAACAACAAAACTAATGTTAAATGTATAGACTTAAAAAAAAAATTAAAATTAAGGACCAACTAAAATTAACACCTCCAGGTAAAATTGTAAGAAATCTATTGTTAACTGTAACGCTGGCGTGTTCGCGGTCATTGTGGGATTAACTTACTAGACTTAACTAAAAATACCTGAATAGTATAGTGCGTTTCTTCATAAAGGAGGTTAACTTTGGATATCGTATTGTACGATGTAATTTATATGTCCTATATACCTCTGACATCAGTTCCTAATGCATGGGAAGTGTCAGTTGGTTTCTGCGCGTCGACACTCTCGCGCATATTTGCTGTAGTCTCAAAAGCTGAGAAAATGGTGTGTAATTTGTTAAGAAACCTTAATACGATTTAATATTATAAGCTTTAATTATTTGATATTTAAAAATCTTTTTTCAACAAATTATTTATATATTTATTTTCATATTTTAAAATCTATATGTAATAAGCAATGAAACAGTGTTTTTATTTTGGTGTTATAACATTTATTTACAGAATAATCAAATCGACGATGAGCAGATCACAAGTGAGTGTTTAACGTTTAAAACTAGTTTTTTTTTTATTTTCTTTATCAGTAGATAGATAATAGATTTGTGACTTAATTTTATATTTTTTAACGCTAATTAGGACAACGTATATTTGTAGATCTAGATACATCTTAACGGTTAGTATAGATTTCTCAGAGATGAGATATTTTCCCGCAGTAAAAATTATCATTTATATTGATCCGGATAACCAGCTATCATCGTACCAAATTTCGTCAAAATCTGTCCAGTAGTTTTCTCCTGATGCGGTCACAGACAGACAGCCATACAGACAGACAAAAATTCTAAAAACTATATGCGTGCATTAAATATTTTTTGGAAAATCTTATTGAAACAAATATTATTATCGATACAGAGGCTGAATCTATAGTTTTTAGAATTTTTGTCTGTCTGTCTGTTACCGCATCAAAGAAAAACCACAAGAGGTATTTTGATAAAATTTGGTATGGTGATAGCTGGTTATCCGGGTCAACATATAAGATACTTTTTACTGCAGGAAAATGTCTAATTTCTGTTTTTTGTTTTTGGTCATCTGAACGCGGGCAGAGCCGTGGGCAATGCTAGCGAAATATATAGGTACTAGGGGACCCGACAGACGTTGTCCTGTCTACACGTCTTTAATTTGAAAATTTCAAACTTTTTTTAATATTTTTTTTGATGAAAATTATTATTCAAATTGTGAATCTAAACCATTCCCAGATCCCCTTGAACACACACAAAAAATTTCATCAAAATCGGTCCAGTCGTTTGAGAGAAGTTCAGTGACATACACACTCACACAAGAATTATATATATAAAGATTTGTAACGCCTTATTCAAAAGCACTTTTAATATACATGCATGATTTACAACAATGTTGCGGTTAAAATTGTTTAGAGATCTGGTCCGTTTCATCATGAACTTTATATTGTTATGTTTTAATTTCCTATCTATAAAATATACGTTCGTTTCATTACAATTATTATATCATTATATATTCCATAATGATAGAATAACAATTTGTATAAATCGTAAAAAATAGACTTTTTTATGACAAGCAACTGCACTATTGTTTTTTTATTAAAATCATTTCTATTTATTGTTGTTTGTTTATAAACAAACTCTGCCTCTTTATAATATTAGCATATACATATTTATATTATAATTTACTCAATTAAAGAAAATATGAAAATATTTCTATACTTCGGTTCAAATTTTTGACCGACTTTAAAAGTTATAAGTATATTTTTCCAAACTCATTTATTTCAGTGCTTCGAAGGGCATTCAGTATGTTCGATTCAAGCAAACAGGGTCGTATAGAGAAAGAGAAAGTAAGGACTATTTTAAACACCATGGTGCACAGCTTTGACGACATCGAACTAGACCAGATGTTAGATAACGAAGATGTCGATGGTAAGAATATAAATTATTATCTTCTAATGACAAAGTGACAATCGGGTTCTTGCAGAACCTCATACTTTTAAGTTCCCCATGAGATGTATAAGTTCTAAGTGGTAAGTGCAAATATACATATATGCCAGTGTGGAGGAATATGGCTTGATACCCCTCTTGTTAAAGGGAGTTTTGTGTAATGATAACTTATTACTCGGGTCAACATTTAGGATATCTTTAACTACAGGAAAATCTTTTATTCTCACGGGAAAACACAATTACTGATTCTATCGAGTAGTCCTTAGAAAATTACGAGTATATTGCTATCGATGGCTAAACCTTAAAAGATAAATCAAAACAATGTACTAGAAAATTGTAGGTCTTGAAAAGACCTACAGAAAAGTCCGTAATAGCATGTGTCTATCTCCTAAGGTACGCTCACAATAACTATTTTTATCTATTTAAAACGCACCAAATGTCAAGTCACTAGTAACAATTAAAGCTTTAATAGTCAGGCAACGTACCCTGACTTCGGTTTTTCTATTTAACTCTAATATTAACTAAATCAGCTTAAATTAAAACATAATTTAATAAATCCTCGTTTTATATTAACCTATAACATAAAATAAACCAGATGTCTTCACATATGTTTCAGTTGTATAGGATTTTGAGATCAACAAAAAATAAAATGTCAGCACCTATCAAAGGTGTTATTTTTGGTAACGACTTTATCAACTTCTTTCTCGTTTATTTAAACTGTGTTAGAATAAGCTCTATATAACTACAAAAAACCAAATCCAATCCAATTTTATAAAATAAATCACGATTTTAAAGTTTATTCAAAAATATTTAAATTAATATATTTCTTAGTAATATTATTACAACTATTCAACATTTGAGGAAAACTTAATAAAAACATATATGAAAAAAATATATTTAACGAATAATAATGTCGGTTTGTACACATATTAATTTCTAATTTAAAATAAGTGATTTTTAGATGCAGGAGTTTTTATATGCAAAAAAATATAACCTTGGCCTACTGAGATGACGACTTATTCTTTTAAACCCCAACGATTTTTAAGGTTTTAAGGTTCACAATTTATTTTTAAGGTTTTTATTTTGTACAATAATATTACATACATATAACTATACTAATATTATAAATATGAAAGTGTGTTTGTTTGTTTGTCCTTCTTTTACGTCGAAACGGAGTGACAGATTGGCGTGATTTTTTTAGGTGGGGATAGTTGGAAGGCTGGGGAGTGATATAGGCTACTTTTTACAGCGAGAGATTAACATTCCAACGGGAAAACACGTTATAATACAATCTAAAAAAATATATGATCAGAATTACTTGAAACTTGGTATTAATAGATACCCTTCAATAAAATTAAATAAATACTTGATGTAGCATTTTCCGAAATTCATCCTTTATGGGGGTATAATATGGGATGAAAGTCTATATGAAACTACCTTTTTAGAAATTGTTTCATAGTTTTAGCACGAGCGAAGCCGTGGGTTCTGCTAGTATGTAATAATTTTAAACATCCCTCACTCAGCGACCTTTAAAAACATTTAACAGTGAGCTCCCAAAACGCTGATATGAATAAAACAAACAATGATGTCGGAAATTTACGTCTTTTGTTACTCCTAAATTTTAACTAGCAATTCAGTCTTGCTTTTCTCGAATGGATTTGGTCTAGGTATGTTTTATTTATAATATTAATATTATTTACAGACAAAGCCACCTTTTGGATTTTTTACTAAATATGGTTAATGTTTTACTCCCGTTATAAGCCTATCTGAGTACTTAATTTCATCTAAATCTGTCCAGCCTTTTCAGCATTAAGGAGTTACCAACTTACGCACATATAAACTTTCACATTTATAACAGTATAATGTGATTACGTATATTTCTTTAAATAATTTCCATATTTCTATATTGAACTACCAAATTTTCAGTTTAATTAAAACATGTTTTGTATGTAGAATTAATATTATCAAAATTCAACTACAATCATTATTAAAAATTTGAGAAAAACATGTATGAATAGAATTAACTTACCTTTATAAAAAAAAACAATTAATACTTTCTTGGATTTACGCGAATATATGACATTTTAAATAAAACTATGTTTTCGGATTTTTTATTTTGATTTTTTTTTTTTTTTTTTGGTTGGGGAACCAAAAATCAGAAAAAAATCTGAACAAAATCTGAAAAGATAGTTTTATCTAAAAAAACAATTCCAAACTTTTTTATCGATAATACTAAAGGCTCGTCAATAGCTACTGAATAAAAAAAAGAAAAATTGGTTAATAAACATAGAGAAAAACGTACAGAACTGTTTTGTATTTGCCTATTTATATATAGATACTGTTTAATCTTTTACGTTGAAAAATTGCTCTACGCTTACCAACTGCATATATAGACTCAATGCTTATAATTATTATGGTAACTCATCTGTTGAAATGTCAGTACGTAGTAAAACCCAACGGAACCTTTCCCGTCTTAAATGGGGCGTCGTAGAATCGCTTTCGTATTCAACCACGAAGCCCCTACACCACTTTGTTTCTCCTACATTTACCTCGACATAACACCGTGATTTATATTTTGTGTACATTTATGGCATACGAATAAGCTTTATTTTCCTTTTTTTTTTCTACCAATCCATACTTAATACATAAAAATATAAATCTATATCTAATATATAAATATCTCTATGTTTGTGGTCGCACTTCTCCGAAACGGCTCGACCGATTTTAATGATATTTTTTGTGTATTTGGTAGGCATGAGAATAGGTCGTAAAGTATTTTTCACCCTCCTACCTCCACCCCCTATTTTTTAATCGCAATTTTAGTATTTTTGTATGAACAATAATATTATACTGTATAACATAAAGCCAAAGAGTTTTTTTTTGTAGATTGAACGCGGGCGTAGCTGCGGGTTCTGCTAGTATTATTCTGCTACTATTATAATATTATTATAATAAATTTGAAAGTAACGCTGTCTGTTTCCTTTTCACGCTTAAGCCGCTGAATTTGATGGGCAAGGACATAGATCGCAGGATGGACATAGGGTACATTTGATCCCCGCTCAGTTATCTCGCTAGCGAAGCCGCGAGTAAAACTAGTTTTTTTATTTACTATAATTATTATAATTTCTAAAATACTTTTAGATATAGGATTCTTATACGAAAACAACTCCAGACTTGAGGTTTTTTAATTAAATATAGCCTAGAGCAAATTTTCGGTGGCAACGTGTTGGTTAATATGTTTTATGGTTAAAAAAATATATTTCGCCTGGAAAAAGAGCGAGGAGTCCACCACATAGATCGAGATCTTAGACTGACATTTAGACGTAGGGTAAAATTGACATTTAATTGCATATTTACATTTATTAAACCTGGAAGAGATCGCTTCTAGCGATAAGACCGCCTGCTGTTCATCTGTTTTTAACCGACTTCCAAAAACGAGGAGGTTCTCAATTCGTCGGTGCCAGCGGACAATATTTTAAGATATGAATATCTAATAGGTATATATGTAATTTACGTATCAAATTATATTAGATTTTCTATGCGTCGGCTGGCACCGACTTCGAAAATATCTGATTAGGTATCTATTCTAAATGAAAACCCCCGTTTAGTTATTTTTTACATTTTAGTACCTGGAAGTCGGTTTTTTTTAAGTTTTTTGACATATATTTCTCTTCTTTATATATTTCTTGTATGGTGTATAATAAAGTGTTCATTATTATTATTATTAGTACATATTTATATAAATGAAGTGTCTCTTGCTTCATTTTTGCATGAAAGTAATGCAGTAGTAATTAAAATTACTAAAATATAAAATATTGATCTAATTAGCAAATACGGCTGGAGATTCCAAGGTCTTGGGTTCGAATACCGGATAAGCCATATACGGTTATTAGGTTTGGTCAATAAATTCCCAGTAAAGGCTCGGATTTGGGAAATGGCTGCCCCGCGCCTAATAGAGACGTAAAGCCGTCGGTCCTGCGCCTGATCTCTTATCGATTGTGTCGACTTGCTGTTGTTTTTCTCTAAAAAATTGTCATAATTATAATAATAACAGCTAAAATTAAATAAATAATAATCAATTATAAAACTAATTAAAATTATAAAAATGTTCAATATTAAAAAATATTGTAAGGTACTTTGGTGCCATTTTTCAATGTTTTGAATTCATTTTGTTATTTGTAGGTAGGTTGCCTGAACAAGTATATAATACCTTTGAGACATCTAACACCTCAGTCTCTCCCGTGACCATGATTGCTGTAAAGCAAACTAAACGTCGGGAACCAAAAATCAAAATAAATCCGCGAAAAAAATCCGAAAAGATAGTTTCATTTAAAAAGAACTAAAACATTTTAAAATTACAATTATGTCAATATTTCTAATAGGTTCTTCGATTTGCAATGCTAAATCAACGCTTATTGAGTATGCTGGCGGTACTAGAGTTAATGGATACATTTAAAGTCGGTCCAATCAGATAGATAGTCAGCACCCCGTTCATTCGGTCGTTTGTGTGTTGCATACCAAGGACATGTAATGTCTTGTTTATGTCTTTTTATTTAAATAAAATACTAGAATATCTATCTACTCTGGGCTTAAGATTTGAATGCATAAAAAAGGTTATTTCAAAAATCGTTATTCCATAACTGATAGCTTTTAAAGAAGCTAGTGACCTTACTTGCTGTGCTAATGATCACGGGTTCGAGTCCCGCTGAGCATTCATTTGTGTGATGAGCACGAATGTTTGTAGTCATGGGTGTTTATATTTATAATATGTATGTATTTAAAGTTATATATGTGTAGTGTACCAACTATCTGGAGTCCATAACACAAGCCTCGTAGCTTACCATGGAACTAGATGGTGTTGTGTTAATGTCCCAAAACAAAAAAAGAGCATATTTGCATTTAAATATGAAAAATAAGAGATGACTAAAAAATATGCGTTTTAAAGCTGCAAGAGAGCAGTTCGAGGTGTTGTATGGTGGTGTGGTTCGTATGACTGAGTATTTAGTTCGTCTATCGAGACAACAACACTGACATATGAATAATTTAGTAAATAAATAAATAATACAAATATTTCTATAATTTGTAAGCACTAATGAATGGGAAACGAAACCTTTGAAATTAACTTAATTTGACTTAACAGAAGCAGCAGCACGCTATATTGATGTTGTCCTTATCACTCTTTTAAAGCCATATTTATTATTAAATTAGTCATAAAACAGATTACGTTCTTTTTTTTAAGTCTCTTCTTAAACATCACTATTACCACACCTCACCATCTCATTTCATCATACTTTATTCAACTGTCAATATCCACAGCTTATTTTTTTCTATTTAGGTAGCACCGCGGATATACTCAAGGATACGTATATACAATGAAGTATTTTTATAACATACTAGCGAGTAGCGATATTTCGTTGCTTCGCTCAAGTGCGACCTTAGATACATTTTTTTGAGCGGAACCCTAATTCTTTTTCTAAAATAAAAGTAGCCTAAGTTACTTGTTATAAAATCAGCTATCTGCCAGCGAAAATCCCGTCAAAATCAGTTCAGCCGATTTGGAGATTAGCCGGAACAAGCAGACAGAAAGACAAAAATTTTAAAAATGTGCTTTTGTGTTAAGTAAGCACCATATAATTTCAAATGCATTTAGTAAAAAGCTTTTATTTCTACATTACAAACAGACACTTCAATTTTATTTATCTGTATAGATTAACTTCTTTATGTAAGATACTGTGCTAATACAATAATAACTTGTACGGTGTAACAAAATAAAGCTATCAGGAACGATATCAAATACACATCATAAATTTTAATAGAATTTTGAAATATTTGTGATATATTGTTTCTAACTGGCCTCCATATTCATTTCAATGAAATGCTATTTTTAGCAGAGACAAAGCGAGAGATTAACGCAGTACTTAGCACTATTGACAAACTAAAGAACAACGTATAATAATCTATATACTAAAGTTTCCTAACGCCATTAAACTCACAACTGACTTCACTAAATTCTATACAATGAAAACTTATAAAGTTAAAGCTCGCTATCTCTAACGTACGAGTAACTAAATTTAAACTACAATTTTCGTAATTCTCCACATTGTGGTAAATTAAAGGTAATTTATTTGAGCTTAACGCCTATCTTTCGCGTTTAAAAAGTGAATATAGGTAAAATATATTATGTGAATACAGATCATTTTATAGGGCAAGTTGTATGCATGTTAACTTAAACAATTAGCCAATTTAAATAATTCAAGTCTGAAATTAAAAATATACCTATTATTGAATAAAGCTTATTACACCATAACGGAATACTTTGTAGATGTCAATGTGTGGGACTAATGTTTGGTTAGATCTCGAGTAGGATAAATAGATAATTATTGATTATATGATATAAGATTGGTTACAACGAGATAAAGGTTTATTACCTATGTATGTTAAAGCTGTTGAATTTATTTCGATAAAAATCCATCTATTTCTATAAATTACATTATGTGTACTGGGACATAGGACCTTATTTTTACCATGTGAACAGATCCGCGGGCTCATAAATGTATAATATTTGATAAATCTTAGGTTATAGGGAATATAAGGCTTTTTGTATTACCTTTCTTTTTCGTTTTATACATACTGACTAATCTTATATTTAAAATTTCCATGTCACTATGTTTGTTACCGTACTCCTCCGAAACGGCTTTACCGATTTTTACTAAATTTTATATGCGTATTCAGTAGGTCTGATATATGTATATAATTACAGGTTCTGGAAAACTAAATTTTGATTCATTCGTACGAGTGGCTACACATTTCCTTGATGAAGATGATGAAGCCCTCCAAAAAGAACTTAAAGAAGCTTTCAGGCTTTACGACAAAGAAGGTGAGAAAAAGCATATTAATATTTTATTCCCAATGTTAATACAACTTTCTTTGTTCACTCAATAATTTAAAATTTAAATCATACATACACGTCAAAGTTTCTTTTTTTGAAGTCGATTAAAATGAATGAATTTAACTGCCTTTGCAATACGAGTACCTACTATCTTTTCTTACTGTAGATTTAGTAATCTTAAAAAAATAATAAATATTTAAATGTCTTACAAGATTTTATTTAAATTAATATAATAATATTATATATATGAAAGTTTGTTAGTATAGATGTTTGTTACTCTTTCACGTCAGAACGGCTGAACGAATCTGGATGAAATTTGGCACACAGATTTTTTTTAATTTATAGTCTGGAATAACACATAGGCTACTTTTTGTCCTGGAAAAATGTACGGTTCCCGTGGGATAGGTTTGTTTTTGTTTTGCTAGAAGCGAAGCGAGGGTGAGCCGCTAGTAATATTATCAATGCGAAAGTTTGGATTGATGTTTGTTACTCAATCACGCCAGAACGGCTGAACGGATCTGGTTGTGGCACAGAGAAAGGTTATAGTCTGGAATAGCACATAGATTACTTTTTATAACAGAAAAATGCACGGTTTCCGTGGGATAGATATGTTTTTGTTTTCACTAAGGACGAACCTGAGCGAAGCGAGGTTGAGTTGCTAGTACAAAATAATACATACATTCATATGTAGTATAAAAGTATTGAATGGAATATGTTCACTATTAATTTACTTCATATCGCTGTAGATAATAACCATATATCATAAACCAATGGGGTGTGGAAAATGTTGATAGCCGCTCTCCCAATGGGACGCCCACTCAGTGCAAACTATAAATTATATGTACATTGTACATAGAGTATAATATGGCTGCATCTATAGATAACTGACGTCTTAATATGGTAGAATGTAGTTTTCATATTTGTGTCCTGGCTTCATTTAGGTGTTAATTTGCACAGACTTTAATTTGATGTACCTACCCAGCCCTGGATTTACACTACGGGCACTCGGGGTTAGTGCCCCATACATATAATAAAATTTTGAGTAGAATCTGTATATTACATATTTTTTGGAGTTTTTTTTTGAAATAATCATTATTATCGATACAGAGGCCGAATCTATAGTTTTCAGAATTTTGTCTGTCTGTGTGTCTAGAAACGCATCACAAGAAAACCGTTGGAAAGATTTTGATAAAATTTATTTCTATTAATCGTTAAAACGCTATGTTTAAGGACGAACCCGAGTGGATTGAGGGTGAGTCGCTAGTGAAGTATAAAATACGAAAACTGGGTAGCGAAAGCTTGTAAAAGAGGTGGATTTACTTTAATAATAATTGTATCGATAACCTCTATCGATTGATTGGCCGAGCGCCAACTTGTTCCGTCGGAGTACTGAAAACAATTGCACCATGAAAACTATTGAAAAACAAACTGACTTCACTACGTGTTGAAATAACCCCAAAATTTAATTAAAATTGCTTGTATTTTTTTGTCAATAGCAGCCGTTTCAAAATAAATAGAATAAGTAAAAGGGAATAATTGAGCATCTACTATATATAGTTTCTGAGTTTATTTCTTTATTAGTTATTCTTACTACTCTGTTTTGTTATCTATACATATAATAAAATTCTAACTGAGTCAAATCTGTATATTAAATATTTTTTTGGAAAACTTATTGAAATAGTCATCATTAACGATACAGATATTTTTTTGTATATCTGTCTGTCTGTCCATCCGTCCGTCCGTCTGTCTGTCGGTCATTATGAAAAAACCATTTGACAGGTTTGGTATGATGATAGCTGGTTATCCGGGTCAACATTTAGGATACTTTTTACTGCCGGAAAATATCTCATTTCTGAACAATCTATACAAACCGGTAAAATTTATCGACGGATGAACCCGAGCGGAGCGACAGTAAATCGCTAGTGGTTTTATATAATAGGGCTATTTTCTTGACACGATTATTCTCTTAAATGTAACTTATAATCCTTTAATCTGACAGAAGTGCATGTCATCATGTATGTCAAATGTATATTATTATCGTAACGAATGTAAGATTGTCTACTTGTAGCATACCTGTAAATGATTTATATCATTCATTCGGTTGCAATGATTTTTTTTTTATTATTAAGAGACTTCATAATATTTTTCTATAAGCCGAAAGTGAAGGTGTACCTTTTTGTTCCGAAACCTAAAATGAACCGCGAAAGTAGAGTTATTAATGCATCCGTTATAGATTTATTCTATACTATATTACATGCCAAATTTATATATGGAACCGAAAAATCTACAGATTTTTCGAATCTAAACATCCCGCTTATTGTATTGGGCCAATTTGTTTGAGCTTCTTATTACTTGACAGTAAATTATTTGGTCGCGAAAGCTAAAATCGTAGCGCTGACACTTTTATTATTCTGCCGAACGAAATATATTTCCCACAATATTAGTTGCATTCGCAGCTTAGAATTGATTTTATTACAAGAATGTTTTAGAATTTGTATAGTTAAGTGTAAATAGCATTCTGAATGCAATGATTTTGAATAAGCTTAAAATGAGACGTATTTGTATATTAATTACAAGCGTCTCACTCTCGCTTCGCTCGAGTTCGTATTACCGTTTAGTATTGAATATTATAGTCAAGTCCTTGTTCTGTGAAAATAAAAAAACAAATCTATCATACGGGAACCGTAAATTTTTCTGGAACAAAAAGTAACCTATACGCTGTTCCAGCCTATTATCTATCTCTGTGCCACATTTCATCCGATTAGCCTTTCTGGTGTGATTGAGTAACAAACATCTATCCAAGCATCTAAACTTTCACATCTATATAAAGTCACAAATCTATATAAAGTTACAACACTTATAACTCGAAAACTGCGGGACCGATTTTTATAATCTTTGTTTTGTTGGATTTGTCTTAGCCCCGAATAGCAGAATAACTGTTAAAACATCGAAAATAATAACGAAACTTAAAAAAAAACTATTCCATACTAAGCGTCAAAACGTACTCAGGGACGAACCTGAGCGAAGCGAGGTTGAATCGCTTGTTTATAATGTTACTAAGATTAGGGATCGGACCCTCGAATTGTCTGAATGACTTTTTTTGTTTTTACTATTCACAAGTCATTTATTTACGTTCCATATCTAATATCTATAGGTACAAATATTACATACATTACTATTATTGTTTTCAATAGATAGCTAATTACAAAATATTTATATCCTTATTAAATTTTTTGATTTTTCCTACATAAAAAGCTATTCCATAGATTTTTTTATCCCCTCGTCAAAGTTCGATTAAAGTAATATAAAACTTTTCTTTTAGTGCTCTAAGAGATTTACCACAGTTTCATGTTGACATAAATCTTAGTACAGTAATTATTGAGTCTAAATTTTTTTGTATTATATATTATGTATAAAACAATTTTCTTAGCATTTTTGATCAACCTCAAAAGAAAAATGTATGTATGCAATTCTAAGGTTTTTTGTATTACACGATATTAACTATAGATCCTTTTTTTTTGCAATTTCTTACCGATTTCAAAAGAAAGATGTACGTAATACTTGCTACGCATGCAATTGTAATGTTTGTTTGTTTTTGTATTCCACGATACATATCTCAAATATGTCAAACGTAAATTCTATCCCTACACTTTTAAAAATGATTGAAGTCAGTGTACTTTTATACGAGCATTACTAGTGTTCGTCCAGTAGACGAAATTTGACCATAGTCATAATATAAAAAGAACTGTTTTCAAATTTTTTTGATTGATAACATTAAAGCTCGTGAATATCTACTAAACAAAAAAAAATGGCTGAAAAACAGAGGTGAAACTGGTACTGAATTGTTTTGTTTTTGCCTAACTATATATAGACTAGCGACTCATCTTCGCATCGCTTGGGTTCGTCACTAGCTTGATTCCCCATACAAAATTTCATTCTCATTTTTACCCCTTTAAGGGATGATTTCCGGGATAAAAAGTATCCTTTGTCCTTCCCAGGGTCTCAAACTATCTTCCTATCAAATTTCATCTAAATCCGTTCAGTAAATCCAGAGATTACCCCTTACAACGTCACAAACTCACAAACTTTACCTCTTTATAATATTAGTATAGATTCTTGTAAACAAAATCATTATTATAGGTAATGGCTATATCCCAACATCGAGTCTACGAGAAATTCTTGCAGCATTGGACGATCAGCTAACACCAGACCAACTCAACGAGATGATTGCTGAAATTGACACAGATGCGTCTGGGACTGTTGACTTTGACGGTACGTAACTAAGTTTCTTAAAGCCATTCGTTCGACCCACAATTTGTATTTCCACTGGACCTTCCATTGGATTTTTAGAAGCTGTTATTTGAGAATTAAGACTACGGACTTTGAAATTAAAGCTAGGCTAAGAATATAGAGTTATAGTGAAACTAAAAAGTTTGTTAAACACTCTAAGAATTCGTATTGAATATCAATTGAAAGCTAATCTATTGAAGTCTAATTTTATTTAACACCCCCAGATAAATTTCTAAGAAATTAATAAAATTTCTAAGAAATCTATTGTTAACTGAAACGCCAGCGCGTCCGCGGTCGTTGAGGGATTAAGTTAATTTTTGACTGACTTCATCATACGCATATAATACATAATATTTATATTTGTGTTATAATACTTTCTTAGATTTACGCGAATGTTTGACATTATTCAATAAAACTATCTTTTCGGATTATTTCGCGGATTTATTTTGATTTTTGGTTATATATATAGACACTTTCAAAGTTCACGGAGAGACTGATTTTTATATTATTTAAATATTTAAAGTTAAAAAATATTGTAATCTATTTGTCATTTGTTAACTGGGTCGTGACCTGACACTGAACAACCGTCGATTATAATTTTATTACATAAGATATGGCACCTCTTAAAGAAAATTTTCACGCTAAAAGATACGCTCTACTATAATAACTAAGTAGTTAAATGTAGTTTAAATTAAAAACGTAGCTAAATTATATTTCAATTGCATTGGATAAAGCCAATTATAGAGCCAGTTCTACATGCTCTTATATAAAATGGCTTGGAGGTCAGTGTTAATGAACTAAATATATGTATGCTATTAATTAAAAAAAATCTCTATTTCTTAAAAAAGCTTCATGCAAGAATCGAATCTACTGTAATCATATAGATTTATATGTACAATTAAAGACGTTATTATTATTAATAATATATAACAGTAATATTTAAAGAAAAGCTATATTAATGTATGGCTTGAGATATAAACTATGATATAAACTATTAATAAAAAAAAGAATCATGAAAATAAATTCACAATTGTCGAAAATATTGGGTGGATACATAAGAAAAACTAGACGACTGAATTCTTTTACTCCTCACTTTCTTTTTAATACTTTCTTTGATTTACGCGAATATTTAACATTTTAAATAAAATTAACTTTACGGATTTTTTTGCAGATTCATTTTGATGTATGGTTACCGACGTTTCGCCTAATACCTTAGGCTTTCCCATGAACATGTTTACTAAAAGCGTTCAAAATGTCGAGAACCAAAAATCTAAATAAATCCGCGAAAATAACCGAAAATAGAATTTTATTTCAAACTAGCGACTCACCCTTGCTTTGCTCGGGTTCGTTTCTATTGAAAAACAAAAACAAATCTGTCCCACGGGAATCGTATATTTTGCGGGATATAAGGTAACCTATGTGCTATTCCAGATACCTTATTCTATACCTATCTGTGCCAAATTTCATTCAGATCCGTTCAGACGTTCTTACGTGATTGAGTAACAAACATTTATCTATCCAAACTTTCGTATAAATAATATGTATGGGATGTTTTACTCCTTTTTTAAATCGATGAACAACAGGTAACATATAAGGCTTAAGCTACTACATTGTGTACATTAATTTTAACTTATTTGTTTTTGTTTTTCAGAATTTATGGAGATGATGACTGGCGATTAAGTTCCTGAGTAGAAACAGCATTACTTGTTTTAAGTTATGAGTAACTTGAAATAGTGAATATTTTTACGTTTATTAATTATTATTTTGATCTTTAAAAGAGTTTTTTTTTAATAAAACTACACTATTAAAAGATTTATTTCACGTTTTTTTGCTCTTTTGTTATATTCTCTCTCATTTACATGTATTTACTTTTATTTTATTTATTTAATACTTATAATGTACTAGCGACTTACCCTCGCTTCGCTCCGATGCGTCCTTAGTTTCAGACCCTATTTAAGGACCATAAAAATGGGTTATAGTGAGTCCACCTTAAAAGATAGACATATACTATCGCGGACTTTTTTGTAGTAATTTTTATGTTTTTCAATTTATTAGAACTCTTGATTAGATTTTGAATTGATTCCTCATACAAGCTTTCATCCCCTTAAGGGATGATTTCCGAGATAAAAACTATTTTTCGTCCTTCCCAGGATCTTAAACTATCCTCTTACCAAATTTCGTCTAAATCGGTCAAGTAGTTTCGGAGCCTATTCAGTACAAACAAACAATAAAATCTTTCCTCTTTATAATATTAGAGTACCACAGGCCAGTAAAGATCCCAGTTGGCATGATTTTTTCCGAAATCTTCAACAATTATCGTTATATTTCAGCCAATTTAGACAGAACCTTAATGAATTAAGGTTTACCTTACCTTCCTCATGAATCCGTCCATTGGTGAAAACCGTACGAAAATCTGTTTGGTAGTTTTTGAGTTTATCGCGTTCAGACAGACAGACGCGGACTTTGTTTTATAATATGTATTGATAAGAAATCAAAATACTAATCCTATTTTTTAAACATGATCGTCATTAAATCGAGATCATATTCGAGTGTATAAGTAAAAAGTCGCATTAATAGGAATTTCTTTGTGCCTAGACTGTCAAGAAAAAATGTAGTAATGCTTTATTCTTTATATTTACAAATACAAGATAACTTTCACACCTCAATTCAAAAAAGATCGCATTATTTCCAGAAAGATAAGTTTCTCTTATTGAAAACGAAAAAAAGATTTTGCACTTAAATCCGAAAAAAATACAAAAGCAAAGATAAGCTTTCTTTCTCAGAGCTTTCTTTCAACGCTTAGCTTAAAGTGAAATAGTATTTCTCACGTGAATTCATGAGGCCTTTCTTTTATGTTGTGTATTTGCTGTATTATTGGAGACAAAAAAATGAAAAATGTTTACTGAGTTTAAAAAACACTAATAACAGCTTTTGGCATTTTTTATCTAAATTAGAAAACCTTGATAAAACCTCAATTTATTTACAAACCTTACAAATACATCAATTTAATTGTTTATTTAAAAAAGTACGTTTTAAAACAAAAAAAAATCCAAATTGCTTCAGGCGTCTTCGAATAATCGGTGAACATATGTACATAAAAAAAACAAAGATTACGATGAATCGAGAACCTCCTCCTTTTTGGAAGTCGGTTAAAAATCCTAAGAATGAGGAGATGACGGCGGTCATAATCCCATAAATATTGTAAATAGGAAAGTTTAGATTGATGTTTGTTATTCAATCACGCCAAAACCGCTGAACAGATTACACGGAACACACATTACAGTTACGCGGAAGTGTAAAACTTGTAACTTTATAATTAGGGCTGTTACTTAGAATTTCTTGCCAGAAAATCACATGAAATCCAAGATCTACGGATCTGCCACTGTAGATGCTAGGCACTAGACCAACGAGAAAGTTCTGTATACATTTTAGTAATTTTTGGTACGTACGTAACACATACTATGTTAAAGTCCGGTTGATGAATTTGCCAGAAACCTTTAGTAACCCTACACAATCAAAACACGTAAACTTTATAGGAAGCGTTACGAAGTGGCGATATATCACGAAGAGCCTAGGCAGATTATGATCTAGTTATTTAACGATCGGGCTTTAACGTTATATAAAAAAAATCACTTAGTTGTTTAAGTCTTATTCAGACTAATACATTTAAAAACTCTTATACGACACTGTAACGTACTGTGTAAAAATATCACATGTGTATCACAATTACATTAATTAAGTGATCAGTCAGGCTGTACATAATTGAACATCTAGCAACTGTATTATACTCCAAGAAAAAAAATAGTCCTTCTATATGTTTTATTGTATAAATATGTTGATAGCGGACTATTATATGTACAAATCTTATCACAATTGGTTTAGGTATGAAGAGAATATACATATAATTTAACAAAATTACTAACTATCATATAAAAATGATATTGTGTTCGTTGGTAAATTTGTACCGATTTAGTATTTTTTAAACATTCATAATAGCTTGAATAAGGTTTCGCGGAAAAACTTAAAAAAATACCCTAAAATTGGACAAGAAAGAAAGTATGTTTTTTACCTCATATATCACAAAATTTTATTTAAATTGGGACTGGATAACATATATCCGGTCAGCTCGTTTATTGTAGTGAAAATTCGACCTTTTTTTCAGCTTATTGCCGTCCACTAATAGGCGAAAGCTTACCCCATAGAACACCAACCATCTAGATCGTGGGCAGCCCGCATCTATCCCGTACCTGCCACCTTTTCAAATCGTCGGTCTAGCCGCAGGTTTTGAATGTAATTCGACAATAACAATTTTTTTATTGATAACACAAAAGCTCGTCAATAGCTACTGAACAAAAAAAAAGAAAATCAAATCGGTTAACAAACAGAAAAGAAAAATGTACTCCACTGTTTTGGTACTGGTACGTGAAATTCGTTCAAAATTTCATGGGTTTTAATTTTTTTGTGCGGAATTCTAGTTCTTTTTCTAAAATAAAAGTTCCCGTTGAAATTTTCGTCAAAATCGGTCAAGCTATTCCGGAGATTAGCTGGAACAAACAGACATACAAAAATTAAAAAATCTTATAAGTACCTTATATACTTTCATATGTATTTAATAAAAAACTGTTATTTTGACGTTACATGCAAACATTTCATTTTTTTTTTGTTGGGTACACATTTATTTATTTGTATTGTATATATAGATTCAGAACATTTTTTCTTTAGTTCAGATGCTGCAAACGAATTGCAAAACAAATATAAACGCAAACCAGAGTGCTTGAGAGAGCTCAGCTTTCATACAAATTTAACCTAAGGCGGTGAAATTTATACGTGTAGGACAGTTTTCTCTATTCTTACATTTTTGTTTTATGCAATAGTTGCTTCCTAAATAACTCTATCCGTGATTAATTAATTTAAAAGATGATTAATTTTTAGAATATTAAGATTTTTTTAAATTTAGGCCATTAGGCTTAGTTAAATAGAAAATCAGCAAGGATTAAGCAGTAGAGGTAGTATTAAATTTAAACTTGATATTTTCTTAAAGAGAGATTTTTTAGATATAACCTTTTTTAAAGAAAAACCATGACAATTAGGCTACAAATGGCTTACTTATTGCATAATAGATATACACAAAAATATAATATGCTCCCGAATTGAACCTCCTTTTTTGAAATCCGTTAAAATTACAAAACTTCAATACCAAGACGTTAAACCGTAGGATTTATTCTAGCTATACCGTTATAAGCATCTGTGATCCATATAGATCATTTTTATACAAAAATTGACAATGATTTCTGGATTTATAATAATATATAATATATATTTATAGGATTAAATTTACACTAGAAATATACTTAATTTAAATATTTATATTGATTAAAAATTTATTTTAAAATCTCATCCCATTAATATTATAAATGCGATTGGATGGATTTTTGTTACTCAGTTACGCCAGAGCTTGACGACACGTTTGGCTCAGTTTGTAGTGACCCTACTTGCTGCGCCAGCGGGGGTCCCGCTGGGGGCATTCATTTGTGTTATATTTCATGGGTGTTATATTTATAATATGTACCTATGTATTTAAAAGTTATATAAGAATAATGTATCAACTATCTGGTATCCATAACACAAGCCTCGTAACTTACCATGGAACTAGATGGTGTTGTGTGTTAATGTCCTGACATATTTATTTATTTATTTAAGAGCGGCTAAACGGATCTTAATGTTTGACACAAAGATAGATAATAGTTAGGAATAGTACCAAGAATCCTTTTTATCTCAGAAAATTGTACGTTTCCGATTTATTTTTGTTTTTCACTAGGGATGATCCCGAGTTAAGCGAGAGTGAGTAGTTTTAAAAAAATAAATGATTTCTGGAATTAACAAGATTAGAATCAAGACCCACCTACTTATGTCCACTGAACATATCAATTCTTATTTCTAATATAACTATGAATCTACACTAATATTATAAAGAGGTAATTGAACCGATTTACGTGAAATTTGATAAGAAGATAGTTTGAGATCTTGGAAAGGGCATAGGATAGCTTTTATTTTGGAAATCATCCTTTAAGAAAATCAAAGAGTGATGAAAGTATATATGAGGAATCAATCATTTCTCAAGTAAAAGATATAATTAAACTCATCATACCTATGTGTATACTAATATATAGTCTATATATTCCATACTAATAGCTAAAATGAACCTAGAGATGAACCCGAGCGAAACGAGGGTGAGTCGCTAGTATTTGATAAATCACTTTAATATGTAATCATTAAATAACTTTGCCAAAATGAACAAACTTACTAATTACAAAAGTTTTGGTAAGAATATAATATTTCTCGCTTTGGAGTTGAGTAAACGTCGCTCGTCTCAAATAACGGACCATTAATGGAATAGTTAAGGTGAAATCGCTGTTTTGATCAAAGTCATTGTAAACTTGCGTTTCTTTCTCGCTTGTGGAATATTTTTAATTTTATATGTTTTAAAAAAAATGTTTTCAATTATTATATTTGTTTTTATAATATCATGCATAATAAAAAAAAACGTTTACGTCTTTTGAAGCATATAATTTTGTTAAAACAGAAAAGTAACTTCTATTTGAATTTTAAACACCTATTTAGAGACTAGCAACTCACCCTTGCTTTATTCGGGTGCGTCCCAGCTACGTTTTAAAGAA